CTCTCTCTCTGGGTCTCTGTCCCCCTCTCTATCTGGGTCTCTGCCCCCCTCTCTCTGGGTCTCTGCCCCCCTCTCTCTCTGGGTCTCTGTTCCCCTCTCTCTCTGGGTCTCTGCCCCCCTCTCTCTCTGGGTCTCTGCCCCCCTCTCTCTCTGGGTCTCTGCCCCCCTCTCTCTCTGGGTCTCTGTTCCCCTTTCTCTCTGAGTCTCTGTCTCCCTCTCCCCCCAGGTTTCCGGTCTCTCTCTCTGGATCGTTGTCCTTTTCTCCCATCTCTGTCCCCCTCTCCCTGGCTCTTGTCTCTCTCTTTGGGTCTCTGTCCCCCCTCTCAGGATCCTTCTTATATAGGTCTCTCCTCTTCTCTGTCTCTGATTTGTCCCACTGCCCAAGAACCACCATGACCCGCCCTCATAGCACCAGACAGCGCACACACTTCCTCCCTGCCCTGCCTCCCGCCCCCTCCCAGGCTGTTTGCTCTTCTCCAGGTCTCCCCTTGGCTTGCACTCCTGGGTTTACCAGGGAGCGGACTGATCGGATCATCAATCACAGCTCTGTGTCTCTCCTCGGACAGGACACTCACAGTGGTCCTGACTGTGTCCCGAGCTCCAGAAGGGCTGCCCTTTCTGCCTCACTTCCCCTCTGGCTCTTTTCCCCCCTAAAACATTGCCAACCACTAGCCCGCTTCTTCAAAGGGCCCCTCCCTCTTCCCAGGCCCCATCCCAGCTCAGACACAGATTCCACCCAAAACTGGGTTTTATTGCCTCCCTGACAGATTGAGGGTGGGGGTGAGGGAAGACCTGGTGGTGCAGCAGATTAAGTGCCGGGCTGGCCACAAAAAAGTCTGGGTTCGAATCCACCAGCTGCTCCACGAGGCAGGCGAGGCCGTCTGCTTCGCGGGCGTGGGCAGCCTCGGGCACTCCGCGGGGGCAGGTCCGTCCACCCGGTCCCACAGGGTCGCCCAGAGTCAGAATCGTATGACTGGGGACAACTGTTCTGTTCAGGGGGTTTTGGTGAAGAGGAGGCATCCTGGGCTCGGGGTCGTTCTTGGTCTGGGCATTGAGGCTCAGATTTGAAGCTGGGAGAGAACGGGGGGTGCCTGGTCATTCTTGGTGGCTGAGCTTTTTGGGGTCTATGGTCTGGTTTGGGAGTTTCGGCCACTGAGAAATGGGTGCCAGTGAGAATGCTCTCTGGTTTGTGGGTGCCCCTGCTGAGGGCGGGTGAAAGGCATCTGGGAGAGAAGATGGTGCAGCGGGGACGCCCTCACTTCCGGGCAGCCGAGTGGACATAACCAGAGAGGTGAGTTGCATGACCACAGGTGAGAGGCGTGGCTCCAGTGGGTAGGTGTGATGTGACCGTGGCCGAGGGGTGTGGTCATGACTGTCGTGGCCGTGACTGAGTCCCACAGTCAATGAAGAGGGTCCACGAGGGGGTGGCGCTCAGAGCTCGTCGTGGTGACGCGTGAGGTCCTCACCGTAGTTGGTGGCCTGGCTGCCCACAAACATGTTCCAGTTCCCCAGGATCTCAGCCTTGCTCAGACGGCCGTCCTGCAAGAGGGTCAGAGAGGAGCAGGTGACATCGGTCCCCGGCGGTGAGACTGCCCCGTGGCTCCCAGCTGGTCCTCTCGTAGAGCAAGCACCTCTCTCTTTGGGTCTCTGCCCTCCAGCCTCTCTGAGGCTCCTCTTCCTAGACTGTGCAACCCCCAGCGCCCCCATCTCTTACCCCTCTGATGCATCTCCATCCCTCTCTCTCTCTCTAGGTCTCTGTCCACCTCTCTTTCGGTTTCTGTCCCCCTCTCTCTCTCTGGATCTCTGTCCTCCTCTCCCTCT